CATGTACTGTACTCCCTATCATAAGCGCGCATGCCCAGTCATCGCATGGCCAAGCATCTTGTTAGGCCGGATAGAGGGGGCTAAAAGCTCGGCATGGGCGAGAGAAAAGATGAGCTGTGGAGTTGAGTGGACTTGCTGAATACTGATGCCAACGGTGTCAAGATGGCGCGACTGGGCAGTTGGGAGGCAGTCGCCCTCGACCAACAGAGGAGTGCGGAGGAGCAATGCTCAGAACTAGCAGAGTCCCGGGCAGATAAAAGCAGCGAGGTAGCATTATGGGGATACAGGTGGGGGATCCGCCAGTCACCTCAGTAAACCCATGGCACCAGGGTCTGTCCTAACCACCTGTCAGCAAGCCTTCGATACTTCACATAACCCCCGACCCTAACCTGAAACTGTAATCCTAATAACCCCTAAACCTAACCTTAACACCTAACCTCTTAACCCTTACCCCTAACCCATATGCTAACCCATGACCCTATCCTTAATAGCACCTAATCGTCACCCCAAATCGTAAACCTAATTCCGGACCCTATCCCTCCCCTAAGCCCAAAACTAACCTCAACCCCTAAGGATAATCCTAAACCTCTAACCCATCCATTAACCCCAATCCCCTGATCCTATCCATAACCACGAAATCTGACTGGTAGTGGCCAAAACATCCCAATGGTGAAAATTACATGCAAATAACTCGGCAACATTTCTCTTTCCTGCAAAAACTTGACAGGACCCTCATAAAGTTGTGAGTCTGAGTGAGGTGTTCCTGGGTAAACAAGCATAATAGTAATAACAATAATCTAACCATAACCACAAACACGAAACCTAACCCAACCTCAAAAACACTAACCCTAGCCCTCAACCCTAACCTCCGACCCTTAACCCCTATCCCTAAATGTATACATCTGTGCAGTCACTTAACTAATAAGAGACAAGTGCGAGGCAGTAATTACTTTATTATACGGTAGTTTTAACATTATATTTGACGTCTATTGAATCACATAATTATGGTAATGTAGCATTCATTTACTTGTGACATTAATCATTGGTGCAGTGGTGGAGATTGTGGAAGCATTCCCATACTTGGGCAGTGTGTTCATGACTATAGGTCTCACTCTTCATCAGTGGTGTAATGCTACGTAGACGATACTTGACCTATAGCTCCATATTACGCTCAATGTCTTCTCGTGCTGTTATGCCTTCCATTCTCGACGCTAAAGACATGGCCCACTTTAAATGAACATCTGTACCAGGTGGCCTGCCTAAAATTAATCCTGAGTTTTACCAGATGCTTGAGAGATTTGGATATGGTCCGATCAGCCTGTGTTAGCTGTGTCATGCAGCCCACATTGCCAGCCACCACATGTTTCTTTGTTTTTTTTTCGGTAAAGTCATGTAGAAATAAGAAAAAATAAAATTACAATATACGACGTTTCGATTGCAACACAAGCAATCATCATCAGGTAGAGGATACACATAACCGCAGATATATATACAGACCTTAAGTAGAGGGAATTAACACAGATATACCAGGGGAAATAGAGAGATGGAGCATCACACTAAATCAAACAGGGTTTAGCAAAATTTGGAAACTATGTAAAGCAACACAGACGGTCAGTTAAAACACAATTAACGCATGGTCTGGTTGAATACACTATTTCAAAGATTGTTAAATTGTAAGTTGAGTGTGAAATTTAAGATAGTGATAGAATACATACCATAGAGACCTATGGGGGGAGACACGCACACAGTTAAGAGGTAAAGCAGCACTGTACCGAGGCCTTAAATAGCCAGAGATGGAGAGACTGGGACTCAAAGAGAGAATGGGACACAAATTAGCATAATACAAGTTGTCAGGCACACAGAGAGGGCGCCGCAGCGCACACTTAGAGACACCCAGGCACACAACTATAGGCAGAGACAGCACAGCGACATAAACCCAATTCAAGACACAAAGGCAGATACACCAGCAGAGAACACAAAGACAGATTTCATACCTCCCCGAAGAGGTGGTTCAAACTCGATTTGGTGCTTTCGTGACTAAGATTAATTCCTGCAGTCACGAAAGCACCAAATCGAGTTTGAACCACCTCTTTGGGGAGGTATGAAATCTGTCTTTGTGTTCTCTGCTGGTTATCTGCCTTTGTGTCTTGAATTGGGTTTATGTCACTGTGCTGTCTCTGCCTATAGTTGTGTGCCTGGGTGTCTCTAAGTGTGCGCTGCGATGCCCTCTCTGTGTGCCTGACTTGTATCATGCTAAATTGTGTCCCATTGTCTCTGAGTCCCAGTCCCTCCATCTCTGGCTATTAAAGGCCTCAGTACAGAGCTGCTTTACCTCTTAACTGTGTGCGTGTCTCCCCCGATAGGTCTCTCTATGGTATGTATTCTATCACTATCTTAAATTTCACACTCAACTTACAATTTAACAATCTTTGAAATAGTGTATTCAACCAGACCATGTGTTGTTTTAAACCGACCGTCTGTGTTGCTTTACATAGTTTCCAAATTCTGCTAAACCCTGTTTGATTTAGTGTGATGCTCTGTCTCTCTATATCCCCTGGTATATCTGTCAATTCCCTCTACTTAAGGTCTGTATATATATCTGCGGTTGTGTTTCCTCTACCTGATGATGATTGCTTGTTGCAATTGAAACGTATATTATGTAATTTTATTTTTTCTTATTTCTACGTGACTTTACCGAGAAAAAAAAAACAAAGATGATTTCCTGCAGTCACGAAAGCACCAAATCGAGTTTTAGCCACCACATGCCCAAAAAACTTATCTTTGGTCCGACAGGGTGGGGGGGGGGGGGGGCTAAATAGGTGTGGCACAGGCTGTTAAAGAGAAAAGATGGGCTGTCATCGGATTTGGAGCCGAGTGGACTTGACATTGACTGGTAACAGCAATGTAAAGATCGGCCTCTGGGAAGCAGGCTTACAAAGGATACTACTGAGGCGCGACAGGCAAGGCGACTACTGGGGAGTGATAGGCTAGGTGCACTGTGAGGCTTCTGGGCAAATGGAGGCAGTCACCCTTCGATCGGCAACTAAATCAAAGCGGCACAGCAGAGACCACAGATGATGCATCTGTCAGTTAACTCAGTCAACTCATAACACTTGGGCCTTTAGCATGACCGCCTGCTAGTAAGCCCTCCCCACTTAACTTGATGTCCTCAGTTAACCTAGCCTAGCACAGAGCGCTGTAGTGACTTCAATTACTGGTGAATGGTGGCTGTTGTATGTTTATCTGAGTGTGTACTCAAATGAGTACCTGTTGCGGTGTAAAACTCACCATTTAAGGAGACAAAGGTGGCTAGGCATGGTGCTGGCCACCCACCCCCTTGTGTGCAGTGTCAGCCTTCATTGGTGTCTTGCAACAGCGCTTTCCCCAAAACTCTGTTAAAGGCTATATGGGGCATATTTTTCTTTGTGTATACACATATTCAATTATACCTTATATATAACTAGTCTTTTGCCCGTTGAAGGATGGGTGTATTGCAGTAAATCTGAAACTTGCAAGCAAAAAGCAGACCATGACGTGATATTCATTGCATTATGTGTGCAATTTGTAAGGGTGCGGTGACACAGACCTATTTCATTTTAAGCTTATAATCCTGACCATCATGACATCCTTTTTACTTCTATGTATCAATAGCGCTACGGAGATTGCATGACGTGAGGGTTCTGCCTTTGTAATGAGGGTTGTAAGTTGACGCCGTGGAGGGGGGAGGAGGCGCCTCGGCCCCCCATGTGGAGTGACGTCAGCTGAGAGGGGGGGTTCATTTGGAGGACGTCACCTTATAATTATTGAGGGGGCTGTTCGATGTGCAGTGATGAGGGGGGGATGGTACGCCATGTGGAGTGATGTCACCTGCTCATGATTATGAGGAGGGGGGTCCATGTGGAGGACGTAACCTGTTCATGATTATTAATGAGGGAGGCTGGTCGACGTAGAGTGACGTCACGAGCGTTGCACACAGACATTCTTGGCTCATTATAGTAGGTAATAATGGGGGGGGGGGGGGGGGGGTGTCCATTTGGAGGATGTCACCTGTCCATGAATAGTAATGACGGGGGCTGGTCGATGTGGAGTGACGTCACAAGCATTAAGGACATTCCTGGGTGATTATAGTAGGAATACATCAAATACAGGCAGACCTCACATAGCGCTCAAGGTGCATTGCTGAAGTTAGCGCTAATCATTATTTCTTTTGTATGAGCAATATAGGGCTTTATTGGGGTATCGGTAATAGCGCTAAAAATTTACATTTTATGTTTTAAAAATGATTGAGAACATCAGTAATATGTACTGTACCTCACGAGTGCATTTTACTGGACTCCTACAAGGCAGCAGAGACTGCTGCTCCCAGTGTACACATATCTGTTGTGAGGTTTCTTTTATGTAGAGCCGAAGAGACTATCCTGGTCTTGTGAGTTCTCGTCTGACTAAACTAATCGATTTTGTAAGTATAATCGTGACTAAAAATCGTAATAGAATCACAGTGGGGGGTGGGGTCTGGTTGGCTGAGAGCCGTGCGTCGCTCTCATTAGCTGAGCGAATGATGAGGGCGGGGACGTTTCCTCTGCCTAGCACTGCTTCATGTTCTCACTCTCTTAAGTGCTTTTTCTTTGCACTATTTGATTTCATTTTTTTAGCAAAACATTTTCTCCAGGGGACAAAGGGCGCCATAACGAATCAGCGTTTCTACGGGGTTGCGCTAAGTGAGTGGTCTGCCTGTACGAAGCATTTTCTGCAAATGCTACACATAAGCACCAATCACATACTTCGAAAAGCGTCTATTACAAATACTATTACGATCACTCCTCTTACTACACTTAAGTATACTTCATTTTCCATTTAAAAATGGCAGTGCACATTAGCTATGGGGTTATACGGCAATTATCTTGCTTAGCTTATGAAGTGTAATTAGCATATTAAAACAGTGACAGTGGGTTCACATTCAGTGCGAATCTATGCGTCTCTATCTTAAGCTTAGTATATAAGAAGCCAAGTATCCTCAGATACATTTCTAATGTTCTAAGTCTAGTATCATAAGCTGGCAAAAGTAATGTCATGGAAGTGACCCATAAGTATTATCGTTAGGCTCATTAACTAATTAATCGCAGGTGGACATGTTCCGTGTTCCGTATTGACCCATCCTCAGCTTTCTCACAATTTACTTTTTAGCAATTTAAACCCTTGTGGGGCGGATTAATTTGCCAATACAAAAAAAACATGTGCAACATGCTATCATTAAAAAGTACAATTCCAATAGTACTTATAACAGTGACAGAATAACCTTAAAATCATTGACATTAAAACCATCATCTCATTCATTACAGAATATGACTTTTGATGTCTTGCCACCGGTGGGCGCTGCTCCAGAGCCGCTGGGCATGACCTGACTCTCCACTGGCTGAGCGCCAGTGAGCGTAACCTGCCCACCCATACGAAGGCTTCCCCCCATCCCTTGCGTGCCCTTATAAGGACCTTCCGAAGCTGGGCCACCGGCGAGTGTGCTCTGCATGCCCATAGAAGGAGCGGCGCAGGGCGTAGCCTCGGGCCTGGTGGGTGTGGCCTGGGTGAGCATGGCGAGCTCCTGGGAGAGCGTCTCGTGCCGGTATGCCACGCGGATGTCGGGGACGTTCGTGCGCCGGATATCGTTACCCGGGGGCCCCTCCCGTTCCAGCTGGGCTCCCAGCCAGTGGCGTTGCACCTTTGTGAGGGGGGTGGTGGTGGGGGGGGGGGTGATTAAGTGAGTGGTAGAGGTGTGACAGTATCTGTGTCCTTTCTCCCTGCGTGTCCATGTCTTCCTCTCCATGTCCCTCCACCTGTCTCTCTTTCCACGTCTCACTCTCTTTCCCCTATGTATCTCTTTCCCCATCAGTGCCTCCATCTTTCCCGTCTCTCTTCTGGATTCTCCCTCTCTCCATGTTTAGTTCTCCCCAGGTCTCGCTCGGTCTCCTTCTTCACCCCAGAATTTCACTCTCTCCCCATGTGTGGCTCTTTCCTTGTGTGTCTCTCTCCCTCTCTTCTCCCTCTCTATCTCTCGTGTCTCCCTCTTCTCTACCATGTCTCTCTTTCTCTCCACGCGTCCCTCTGTCCCCCCACCGTGTCACTCTCTCCCCACACGTCTCCCCCCAGTATGCCGTCCCTCCCTTTGTGTCCCCTGTTTATCGCCGTGCCGCCCCCTCCCCCCCGAGTCGCTTACCTCTAGGGGGAACCCGCTCATCAGCACGCTGTTTCTCGCAAGCTCACACATGTCACACGAGCTCAGCTTCCAGACCTGAGCTGCGATACTGTACTCCTCCATCAGTGGCTCCTACAACAACCACATAATACAACCACCACATCAACAATGACAATATACAACTATACACAACCGCATACACCGCTTCCAGTCACTTCCATCAGTGACTTCTACAACCACGACAACCACAATACATACAACAAAAACATCAATATTAACATATGCAACCATAACCACAACCAGTCACTCCTCTAGTGGTACCTACAACCACTGCAACAACCAACATAGTAGTATTAATAATTAATCATTATAAAATGAACATATACACCACAACTAGTCACTACTTAAAGGCTCCTACTACTTTCACAATAACCACAATAATAGTCACCACCACAACCATACACACAATATAAATTCCTTAAAGAAAACGTGCAAATTATTACATTCCCCCGTGGCTGGTTACCATGGATAACACTGTGATGATTAATTCGTGATCTTACTGGAATTGCAGGGAGTAGTCTGTTCATGAACGGATCCTGTTTTACACGGACTATTTCTTAAAGGGACACTATCTCAAAGGGACACTGGGTCTTAAAGGGACCACGTCCTCATTTTGATGACTCTACTCTTGTTACCCCATAGAGATGGACGAGTGAATCACCTTGGTGAAGTGGAACTGCAGGGGGTCATCAGTGGAGAGAGACACCCTGAGCCCGCGAGCGTGGAACTCAGGGAGAGGGTTTCGATGGTACGGCAGAAACAGGGAGTTGTTGCTGAGTGGAGACATCGCAATGCCAACTTGACACAGGTAGTAGAGGTACTGCAACACAGGCGCCTGCAGCACAACCACCACAACCGTTACTACCGCCACAATAGTAACTATTACGAGAAACATGTATATCATATGCAATAACACAATCATTAGTCACAACAGCATCATCAACACATGAACATTGACCATTGTCCCTCCCCATGTCTCCCGATGTCTCTGCGTCCCTTTCTCTCCCTCTCACTTCCCATATCCCTCTCTAGTTCGATCAGTCTCTCTCTCTCTGCATGTCCAGTTTTTTTCACGTCTCTCTTCGTCTTCCGTGGTGTCTCGCTCTCTCTTATTGCCGATCAGAAAAAAAAAAACGTTGGTTTGTGTTTGTGAACTGCAGCTTCATCAATGCTTTAAGATAATTTAAGATTATATATACGATTATATATTATATAAAATATTATTTCTTATGCATTTCCCATCCCTGTGATTTGTAGAATGTGTGCTCTTTTTTCCAAATCCCACTCAAGACGTTTAGATGGAGAACTCCTCCACGTCCGTATACATTGTGTAACACCACTCCAAAGAATCCTCTCGGTATGTATACCAGTGTAGTGACATGGAATGAGTCACTGTAGCGCGTGCCGCTGGGAGATTGGTAGACAATAGAATGAGGGGTAACAGCCCGTTCTACCAGTTGCACCTGTGGGCAAGACACGGAGCCCTCTGGGGGATCCAGAGGGGTGCGGGGCCGAAGGCGGAGCCTGGCCACGCTGTTCAGGATATAAGGCGAGCTCCGTCTAACAGTCGGGGCTGCTGCGATCTGGAGTGGAACTCGTCGTGCTGTCGTCGTCGTGATTTTCGCCACTCTGTGAGCCGTGGTCTTTTTTCCTTGTTTTGAGCAGGTACCCTGGCCGTCGGGCCAGCGGTTGCTGCGCCGAATCACAGGTGGACATGGAGAACTGCCGTGCTGTTGAGGTGAGCCAAGAAGACCGGGCCAGGCCGACAGCAGAGTAGGTGGAAGCCGCCGCAGCTCGGCCATCTGGAGGAGGGGTCCGAGGAGGGCGATGCGGCGCAGACGCCAACCTCGACTGGGAGGAGGCGAGCTGTGGAGGACGCCTGGTGGCAACGGCCAAGGAGAGCAGAGGTACCAACGCGGAGGGAGGTGGTCTCTTCCAGACTGAGCGAGGATGCTGTGGAAACTGTGGCCTCTGCCTACCAGCAGGCGCAAGGTGATCAGAGCGAGACCGTTAAGGTTGATACTGGACCTGTGGGGGCAGGACGGTACCAGGAACGCGCGGGGCGGTGGCACAGAATCAGAATCAGAAAGGGTTTTATTCGCCATGTAAGTTCACACCGACACGGAATTTACTTTGGCAGGATGGTGCATACATTCAACATATAGGAATCTAAAATCTTAAATAAGTTTTAAACAAGTCTTACTATAATAAGGGTTAAAAGTCTAACACTAAGGGGCTGAAGTATATAAAATTAAATAAATATCGAATATAAAATAGCTTTAAGATATAATTTAAAAATACAAATAGGGAAACATAGTTAATATCAGCAACGTGTCGTTATGTAGATCAAATGTTAAAAACAGTGTTAGCCCTTGGCCTTGTTTAACAGGCCAGCAGCAGATGGGAAGAAACTGTTTTTATGGCGTGAGGTTTTGGTCCTGATGGACCGAAGCCTTCTGCCGGAGGGGAGTAGCTGAAACAGAGAGTGTCCAGGGTGGGAGAAATCGGCCATAATCTTCCTCGCTCGCCTCATAGACCTTGTCGTGTGCAGGTCCTCGAGGGTCGGTAGATTGCAGGCAATTACCTTCTCAGCAGTGTGGATGATACGCTGCAGTCTGCTCTTGTCCTTGGCAGTGGCAGCAGTGTACCAGACGGTTATGGAGGAGGTGAGGATGGATTCAATGATCGCTGTATAGAATTGCACCATCATTGTCTTTGGCAGGTTGAATTTCTTCAGCTGCCGTAGAAAGTACATCCTCTGTTGAGCTTTCTTGGTGAGGGAGCTGATGTTCAATTCCCACTTGAGGTCCCGGGAAAGAATAGTGCCCAGGAAGCGGAAGGACTCTACAATTTTTACTGGGGAGTCTAACAGGGTGATGGGGGTGAGTGGTGCTGTATTCTTCCTGAAGTCCACAACCATCTCAACGGTCTTTAGAGCATTTAGCTCTAAGTTGTTCTGGCTACACCAGGTCACCAGATTGTCAGCTTCCCACCTATAGTCAGACTCATCCCCACCAGAGATCAGCCCAATGAGGGTGGTGTCATCCGCAAACTTCAATAGTTTGACGGACAGATGATTGGAGGTGCAGCTGTTGGTATACAGGGAGAAGAGCAGAGGGGAAAGGACGCAGCCCTGAGGAGTTCCGGTGCTGATGGACCTGGAGCCAGAGACTTGTGTTCCCAGCTTAACGCACTGCTTCCTGTCAGACAGGAAGTCTGTGATCCATTTACAGGTGGTGTATGGCACGTTCAGCTGGAAGAGCTTGTCCTGAAGCAGGGCAGGGATGATGGTGTTGAAGGCAGAGCTGAAGTCCACAAACAGGATCCTGGCGTAGGATGCTGGGGCGTCCAGATGCTGTAGGGTGAAGTGGAGGGCCATGTTAACTGCATCGTCCACAGACCTGTTGGCTCTGTAGGCAAACTGAAGGGGGTCCAGGAGAGGGTCTGTGATGGCTTTGAGGTGTGCCAGGACCAGGCGCTCAAAAGACTTCATTACCACAGATGTAAGGGCGACCGGTCTGTAATCATTTAGTCCTGTTGGCCTTAGCTTTTTGGGCACAGGGATGATGGTGGAGGACTTGAGACAGGCTGGTACATGGCATGTCTCCAGGGAGGTGTTAAAGATGTTGGTGAACACCGGAGACAGCTGGTCAGCGCAGTGCCTGAGGGTGGCTGGAGAGACAGAGTCCGGCCCGGCTGCTTTGCGTGGATTCTGCCTCTTGAAAAGTCTATTAACTTCTCCCTCCTGAAAGGAGATAGTCGTCTCTGTAGTATTGGTGGGGGATGGGGCCTCTTGGGTTGGAAGGGGTGGTTCAGGACAGTCCAATTGTCTTTCAAATCTACAGTAGAACTCGTTCAGGTCGTTGGCTAGGCGGGAGTCGTTAGTGGTGTGGGGGGCTCTGGGTTTGTAGTTGGTGATCTGCCTGAGCCCTCTCCAGACAGAAGCAGCGTCGTTTGTAGAGAACTGGTGTTTTAGTCTCTCTGAGTACAGTCGTTTAGCCTCTCTCACCGCTTTGCTAAACCTGTTCTTCGACTCCTTGAATCTGTCTCTATCTCCACTCCTAAACGCTTCCTCCTTCTCCAACCTCAACCTTCTGAGCTTTGCTGAGAACCAGGGCTTATTGTTGTTAAAGTTCACCCTGGTACGTGTTGGGATACAGCAGTCCTCACAGAAGCTGATGTAGGACGTCACAGCCTCTGTGAGTTCATCCAGACTATTGGTAGCAGTCGTGAACATATCCCAGTCAGTACAGTCTAAGCACGCCCGCAAATCTTCCACAGCCTCACTGGTCCACTGTTTAGATGTCCTCACAGCAGGTTTACAGAGTTTTAGTTTCTGCCTGTATGTAGGAATCAGGTGGACCATGGCATGGTCAGAGTGTCCTAGTGCTGCTCGGGGGACGGCGTGGTAGGCTCTACTGACTGTAGTGTAGCAGTGATCCAGAGTGTTCCCTTCTCTGGTTGGGCATTTAATGAATTGTATGTATTTGGGGAGTTCGTGGCTGAGATTACCTTTGTTAAAGTCGCCAAGTACGATAACCAACGAATCTGGATTTGCTCGCTCCACACTCAGAATCTGATCGGCGAGCATGCGTTGGGCCTCTTTAACCTGAGGACAAGGCGGCAAATAAACTCCGACCAAAATGAGCGACGCGAACTCGCGAGGCGAGTAAAACGGTTTACAGGTTATAAAAATTGATTCAAGGAGTGGAGAACAATGTTGCAGAATCACTGTGACATCTACACACCAGCCACTGTTAATGTAAAAACAAATACCACCGCCTTTCGTCTTGCCGGAGAGTGCTATGTCACGATCCGATCTTACAAGATGGAATCCTGCTAGTTGTAGCGAAGTGTCCGGAATCAAATCACACAGCCATGTTTCCGTGAAGCACAATGCAGAAGCTGAAAGAAAGTCTTTGTTTTTTACCATCAGTAGCTGAAGTTCATCCATTTTGTTGCACAGTGAACGTACGTTGGAGAGGAAAAAGCTCGGAAGCACTGTTCGGATCCCGCGTCTGCGTAGCCGTACTAGAGCCCCCGACCGTTTACCCCTTGGGCGGCGTTTCGTTGCTTGAGCAAAGCCTAGCGCGGCATTGACTAGAATGCCTACTAATTCTGCCGCTGGAAGCAGAAAAGTAGGAATTAAATCCACAGGAGTTGTTTCCCTGATATTTAAAAGTTCGTCTCTTGTTAGAGAACTCCGAAAATCTTGGCAAAACACTGAATTGACAGACAAAACAAGACAAAACAGGGCGCACCGACCGGCTGAGGCTACCATCATCAGCGCCATCTTCGCACCAGCACGGGTGTGCTGAACAGCAGGACTCTCTCACCAGCACTGGTGTGTTGAACAGTAGGCCCCTCTCACCAGCATGGGAGTGGTGAACAGCAGGCCCCTCTCACCAACACGGGTGTGATGAACAGTAGGCCTCTCTCACCAGCATGGCAGTGAACAGCAGGCCCCTCTCACCAACACGGGGGTGATGAACAGCACGCCCCTCACACCAGCACGGGTGTGATGAATAGTAGGCCTCTCTCACCAGCACGGGTGTGATGAACAGCAGGCCCCTCTCACCAGCACGGGTGTGTTGAACAGCAGGCCCCTCTCACCAGCACGGGTGTGTTGAACAGCAGGCCCCTCTCACCAGCACGGGTGTGTTGAACAGCAGGCCCCTCTCACCAGCACGGGTGTGCTGAACAGTAGGCCCCTCTCACCAGCACGGGTCTGTTGAACAGCAGGCCCCTCTCACCAGCACGGGTGTGCTGAACAGTAGGCCCCTCAACACGGGTGTGCTGAACAGCAGGCCTCTCTCACCAACACGGGTGTGCTGA